TTTTACACTGAGGGAGCCTGTAATAGAAATGGAGCTGATGGAGAATAATGAGATGAGAACAGATTGGTCATGCACAAGAAAATACCACCTTGGTACCAGGCATAGGTGAGGGCCCAAAGGCTTACTCAGGGAAGAGTCTCAGATTTGAATCTGGGCACTCATCCAAAACTGCATTTGGGGTTTGCCTTCTGAAACAAAGTAAAGGAAAAGTCCTTTCACAGTTAAGTCCTGAAAGCGTCCATTGATTTTGTGTGGCTGAGGGCTGGAAGGAAGACAGTATTGCGCTAAAACCAAAAATAAGATGCTTCTATTTATTTGGTTGTGGCTCAGTCATCCCCACACTCATAAATATACATGGCCAACATTTGCTCTGCCTGGTTCTCACAGTCAGCACTGCGTCATCCCAGCAGGGGAGAGACATGGTCTGCTGAGCCCTTACCCTTCCGGTTGGCGTGTTGAGTACCTGCAGCCTCCTAAAGCTAATATGTTCTAAGAATAAGTATTATTGACTGAAAAAAACACTCCTTGTTCCAATCAGAATCTTTCCACCTGGACCATTCAGCCTTTCATAGTCAATTATTTGAATTTACTGCTAAGATATATACTGTAAATATTTTCAGTTTGTTTTCAGTTTTTGCTGAAATATTTGTGGTTTTTCATTCCCTTTAATGTATTACTTATGTTAATATCTCTCAAAACCCACATAATCCTCCAGAAGGCATTTCTTCCCTTTTTTTCCCCCCTCTAGTGAAAAAATAATGGGCCTTCCCCTTTATTACATTAGCAAGGACCAACTGTGGCTAAATGACTCCTCTTGACAGACAGCAGCCAAAAATCTGCCTCTCTAACTATATTGATATAAAAGCAGAAAGCCCTGTTGGTGGAATTAAAACCTTTTGTCCTAATGGAGCAGCAAATACTCTGCAAAATGCGCTCCGCTCCCAAGGTTAGATTATCCTTACAACCCATGGGGGGAGCAATCCCTGGTAAAGCAAATCCTAGGGCATCCTGACAGAGACAAGCCGATCACTTCTCTGAGAATCACCTAAATCCTCCCTGGGCTTTTGCGGTAACACGGAACGAGCTCACAGAGCTCCGACCGCTCCTTTCGGGAGCGCACAGCGGGGCTGGCAACGTGCTGCTCTAAGGACTGCTTCATTCTGATGAGATGTCTGGGTAAGAATGCTCCAGCAGCCACAGCAGCCTCTCTTCATCTTGACCTAGGAAGTGGTGACCATAACAGGGGCAAACTTAAGCAAAAATATTTCTTGGCTAATGTGTTCCCAATGCGCTTAGAGGAGGATGTCGAGGAAAGGAAACCGGAGGGCTTTTAAATAACAAAATCAGCTTGGGGGAGGACCGATTTATCTAATCCTTGCTCTCTCTATCTGGGTCACTTTAAATAATCTGATGATTAAAAGGTAGCTCCTCCTTTCATGAGGGCCCCTGTACAAAGCAGTGCTTAAAACATAACCTGCTCTAATGGGGAACATGTTCAAACTCAGCGGCAGGAATTTTAAAATTGAAGTGAACCACTTCTTTCCTAGGCCACTCCAGGGTATGACAGGTCCCAAACAGGAGCAGACTGCATTTCCTCATTTCGCCTTCTACATTTCAACCTTGTACCTCAATCACTTGGCATTTGTCAAAGTGTCTCATCCAAGGAGGTACAACTCTCCACAAGAGGTTTTTCTTGACCTCATCTGGAATGGAAGAATGCCAGGATGGGTCCGTTCCCTAAGGAAGGCATGCTCAGGACTGCTGCAGTGACAGTCTACAGGCACACTCAGTTATGAGGATTTCTGCAGTCAGGCTATCAGCACATTTGGAAGGCTGATTTCCAGTGATGGCACATCTCTGATATCTGTACGTGAGTCAGACGGTCCAGAACGATGATTTAAGGAGAAAGCAACAGGGACAAAGAGTAATTTATCAAAGGAAAATGTTGGACTGAATAAATCTGGTGATATTTCTTCCACCTGGAAAAAATTCAAGAGCTCATATAAGATACTCATGATATCAATATGTTCACTATTTAATATTTGTAGCCAAAGGCACTTCTAACTGAGCCGAAAAAAGTCCGCCCTTGTCCAGTTCCAGGTGGAAATATGCCAGCAAAGGGCAGCATCTTGTAGATGTTTGACCATTCTGGGTGTGCCCTGGTCCCAGCCTTTGCCTGAAACACACTCCAGGAAGATGTCAGCTCTCAAAGGGCACGCACGCAACTGGAAGTGGAGTCTCTCAATTGGTAATCACTGTGCAATTAAACTTGCTATCAAAATAGAAATTACTTCTCTAAAAATAGCGGTGATGACATGTTAGCTCAAAAGGAACAGAGTTTTTAAAAGAGGAAGATGAACAAAATAACAGCTCCGAAGGCCAACATGAAACTGAAGGGCAAAGCAAAGTAATCTAATAGAAACCCAAAATCTATAAAATCAGAGCCCAGAGTCCTTAACAGCCTCAGAGAGCACAGATGGGGTTTGTAAACCCAGTGGTTACAGTGGGTTTAATAGCATTTCCTGAGATAATTCTGTTATTTTGCTGTTGCAAGGAACTGGAAAATCAGTGTGGTGTTTCAGATGTCATTGCTTGTAAGTTTTGATAAAGGCCAGTGTTTTTATTCAATTGAATGGAGAAAATTAAAGTAGAAACAGTAAACTGAACAAGCTCGAGTTGCAGCTACACCTTTATCTACCAGTTCACCATCGAAGAAGAAATTTTGTCGCTATGGGAAGGAGAAGATGCAGTACACCCTCAATAGCAACAACTGCTGCTAAAAGATTTAAGGGTGACACTATGGCACCTATTTTTAAAAATGGAATTGAGGGAAAACATAAAAATGAGAAGTGGAGCATTTCATTCATAACTTCTCACTTTTGTATTGTACACCTTAAATTTGTATATATTTTTCTTCTCCTTTTTTTTCATGTTTCTAGACAACAAATCCTGAGGTTTTGAGAACTCAAGCACATTCTGCTCAGTCATTCTTTTTCCTATCTAACTTCATATTTTTCATTTTTGACCGGCTGTAGTTAGATATGTTTGAACCTTGCTTCGTTTGTTATCATAAACCTATTGTGTGTGTCTATTCTTTATTAATTTGGGAGTTTCTGGTTTTTTTCTCAGTAACGTTTCTTTTCTATGACACGTGATTCTTAACACATCAACGCAACCCTGAGCAGCAAGGGCTTCCTTCCATAAAAAAGTTACTTCATAATTAAGGGATGCCTTCCACTGGCATGCCTCCTTTGGCAGTGGCAGCAAGAGCCTCTGAACATCTTCCTGAAACAGCTATTACCCATCTCATCAATCTCCTCTGGAAAAGCAGAGCTGGCCACAAAGACACAACACAAAGGCCCCAAAGCTGGATGACACCACATTAAGGACTCCTGCTCCCGGTCAAATCAACAGGACTTGTTTAATTAAGACAAAAAGGCAGGACATCTGTATCCCAGCAGCTCCAATCCATCCTGCCTGGAAGCAATCAGTGAGCAGTAATGGGAAAAATGTCCTCCATCAGATTAACTCAATTAAGTCAAGTAGCAAATGCCTGTTAACAGCTCTGTGTACATTACACAAAGCATCCAGTGCTAACAATAAATGTCTTTATAACTAGAATACTGTAAAAAGTAATACCTGTGAACACATTTTCCAGTTCTAATTGGATTTTCTTTTTTTTATTTAGAAAACCTCATTTATTTTTTCAGCATAAGGAAAAGCCTTTAGGAAGACTTTTGAGGAATAATGTTTCATGAAAGTATTATTTTTAACAATTATTTCTCTTACCATGCTCAAAACATTAAAGAATTTTTTATCTTCTAATACACACAAAAAGGCTGATAAGTGTATGAAGAAATCATCCAGCTTGTTCATTATGAAAGGAGTTTGCTAAGTTTTTGAACAAAGGAACTATGTTTCTTTAATTGGAATAGAGCATGGGGACAACTGAGCATCAGCTGATGATGATGAGAGAGAGCTGTTCCATCATTTTGGGGCAGAAAGCATAATAAAGAATATACTTTTAAAATCTTGGATTCAGGCAACCTAAAGCTTTTTTTTCATTTTCCTTCTCTTGTCTTAAAATGAACAGACAAACATTCATTTAGTGCAGCTGTTTTTCCATCTGCTCTCTACTTACCTTACCCTGACCATGGTGAATTTGTAACGTCAAACAGGTCCCACTTTCCCAGGTCTGGGTAAACAAGGTGTGGGGCTAGTGCTAGGAAAATTTTCTTTTTTATGAGGATGTCACCAGCCAAGTGCTTCAGAAAGATTTACTTTCTTTATCATCTATACCATCTGTTCAGACCCTTATAGCTACAGACAGTTACTATAGTTCAGGCAGCGTTTACAAACATTAAACAAATTATTTATTCGATAAATGGTTCTTAATCCTAATCAAAGGGAATTACAGGTCAAGGACACCACCCTGTGCTCTGGTGTGTTTTGGAAGACCAGACAAGTTTCATGTCAGTGGAAATGAGAGGGCAGTTTTTACAGTTGGTTTTCTGGCCAGGACAAGGTGATTTTCCCCAGTTCAAATGCTCCTCACAAACTTTTGATTGAAATTCTTTCTGATCACATAAGGAAGGAGTCTGGAAGCCTGGAATAAGTTATCTGCAAACTCTTGGCCAAAGAATAACCATAAAAAGCAATTGTACAAATCAAGCCCTTGAAAAATTCTCTTATTCATTACTGCTCAGCAAAATCCACTCAAATACAATATTTATATACTTTGGAATCTTCTAGGAATTCCTAGCATGCTTCTATAAATTGCTTCCGAAATTTTTCTATCACCAACAATAGGAGTTCCTGTATCACACAATGAGCATGTAATGACTTCAATTCAGTATTTACTTTTATTCTGCTTAAGAGAGAATGCCTCAATTTGCTTGATTTGTCAGGCTTTGATGTTTAGAAGCAGTGTCTAATAGCTCAGAACTTATAAGAGCTCACCAAATAACTTTTAGAAGTGAGAAGGAAAAAGAGCATCATACCTGAGATTGTGCATTAATATTGGCTCCTTCCTTCACCAGAACTTTGACAACTTCAGCTTGTCCTGCTAAGGAGGCAATGTGCAGGGCTGTATTCCCTTTCTGTTAGAGGGGAGAAATGCAAGTTATTATTACCCTTCTTCAGGAATCATTTCAATCAGCAGGTTTTTTTATAGCATTCATGCACGTGTGCTTGCCTGTGGAAAGGCTAAAGGGAAAGCAATTCATCCCACAGGTGTTTTTCCATTCTGTTACAGGTAAAAAGACTCTGGGTATGATAAAGTCAGTTAGTGATTTTCACAGATTTGGAAATCTTGGAGCTATGCTAATTCTCCTTAAAATAAGGAGGACCTGTCATTGGATATAAGGAAAATCTGGCATTGCTAAAAGCTTCTAATGCTTCCCCTGTACTATACTACAAAATACATTTTCCTCTTCATTTACTACCAATGAGCTGCAGCTCAAAGACAACTCCCGGGCCATAACAGAAACAACCGTTTAAATACCAGTGTGGTATTTACACAATTCTCTCATTTTGTACTTTTTGGGGTTTTGTCTATATTTCTCACGTGTATGGAATAAGCTTAGAGACATGCATCAATTACCTTAGTGGCAGAATCCACAGCCGAGCCTCTTTCCAGCAATTCCTGTACCAGTCCCACGTGGCCCTCTTTGGCTGCCAGGTGCAGAGCATTGAGCCCATTCTGCAAGCACAAGGGCCAGATCCATTACAAATATCAGATACACATTCCTACCTCGCCCTGGCATCAGGAGAAGATTAGGAGCTGGAATACTATGACATCTCTTAGCTGACTGTCTGCATAAGTCAGATACTTTGGACATGGCTATTTAAGCCGAGGCTCTGTGGGACAAACTTCTCCGATAACATTTTTCTCATAGTAACAAATACATCAGAGCAAACTGTGTTTTGTGAGAATCCAGAGAAAATTCCTCCTTTTCTAATAACTTCCCATTACCACAGACTACTACCTTGGGGATCTCCATGGAGCCCAGTGTTTCAAAATTTGAGTGTATTTCTGCCTCACTACTGTAACCTTATCCAGCCCTGCTGAGGTTTTATCAATACTGAGAAATCACAGGGCTTAGCCAAATTTACACAGGATGTGTCTACTCAATCAGGGTATTTCCATGCTGACATAGCCACCCTGAACCCTGGTCTCTCCTCTGGGATAACAGGTAACAAGTAGAAACCCAAAAGCACAAATGGGCCAAAATGGCTGTTGATCACTTTTGACTTGCAAACTGATCCTTGATCTGGCACTTCTGCTGGTGTCTGATGAGCAAGTCTTCACTAAACTTTGAGGTTTTGCAATCTCAGTCTAAAAGGAAAAGAAGACTAATTAAATAAAAGCTAGGATTGTTGAAAAGGTAACCTAAGAAAGTCAGCATCTAAATCCTCTCCACATTTGACAGGAACAGGATACTTTATCTCATATAAATTCCTGCCATGGAAATTTGATCTCCTCCTTCCTAGTATCCCCTCCCCCTTCCACCCAAGGAGAAAAATTAAACCGCAGTCTATTGTAGCTGAATTTCCAACCTGTTTTTCACAATCCTGAGGTATTTTTCATGCTACATCGGGCAGGTGACAGGGACAAATACTGCCATTCCCTCCAGCACTCTCTTGGTTTCCATATTGCAGGCATCAGGAGCAATACTCAGGTGTTTGAGCAACCAGCAGCAAATCCTGCGCTGTGCAATTTTTATCACTTTGCTTTTGTCTCTGAGCAGTTCAGAATCACTTCAATTGTGAAGTAAACAGGCAACTTTCTGGCTTTTATTTGTGCATTCACAGAGGCAAGTGGAGCCTGTAATTCCCAGTGGGATGTTGAAGCACTTAGCACTTCACAGGAGGTATTTGATGGGAGTGGGTCCAGTGGATTCAGACACAGCAATCCAAATGCATTTCTGCACTAACTCCATTTGATTCCACATCCATGTAAGTAGCACAGGCAGATTTTGTGGTCAAATTCAGAAGTGGAACGATGAGAAAAGCAAAGGGACTAAAGGAAGGCCACAATCACAGGCTGGCAAAAGCAGAGGAACCCCCTTCTGCAGCCTGGTAGTTAGGAAATGTTAATGAGAAATGTGGTTTAAAGCCCCATTATGTGGGAAAAGCTACAGCAACCAGAACATCCTTATTACAGAGGAAATACTCTTACTACGGAGCTGCAGAGCCCAGGGGTAGCAGCAGTGCCATGTCCTGGTCAAGGATAAATCCTCAGCCAAAAGTATGTGGTGAGACTGACCATAATCACCAGGATAAGGAAAGCTGTACATGTACAAGGGAATATTTTTAAGGCTAAATGTGTTTCAGAAAACTCTGATCTTTCTTGTTTTTAATCTCAGCTGAGTATCAACTAACCACAATTACTACCTGCACTGGCTGAGAGCTTTGAAATAGCTTTTTGTGGGGATACACAGTGTTCTCCTCACCGTTTTATAAGAAGATAGTTTATAAGAACAAAGACCTGTTCTCATATCTGATTTCACAGATTGTCATCAATACTTTCCATGGGAATCTGAAGGGCAGCTTGTCCTCCTCACAGTGTACACAGCTGATGTATTGCTGCCACATGTGATCAACCTTCTTCACTCTTTGGGAACAAAGAGCAGAGGAACTGCAAAATTCATGGCCCATAAACAACTCTGAATGCAAAAGGATGAGGATAAGCCTCTGTTTTAGTTTACCAGGGGCCAAAATATGGAGAGAGCAAGGCTTGTCCCTGTGCATTGGTCTCTGAAAATACTCATACTCCTACCTCTGAGCCACATATCTGTTGATGCCACAATAAGCACCTGGAAGTTGATATTGCTGCATAAATTGAGTTCCTCTGCAGCACAGGACTTCATTTTAATTCATTAAAACATCAGCAAAATTAATAGTTGAGGTCCAGTAAAAAGTCCAGGAAGAAACTCCAGCTTAAAAATAGGACTATAGATATTCAGAGTCCATAATTCCTTAAATAAAGCAAGCAGGGGTAAGCAGCAGCAAGCCCTGCACTTAAAATGCTGAGGGCCAGCACAACTGAAGCCTTAAAGCAACTTTTGTTCTCTTTCTCCCTAATCAGAACCAACGCTGCAATTATTTCCCAGCCTACGTGGCTGATCCCTGCTACTTCTGATGATGGAATCTCAGATTTAATCAATGCAACTCCTCCGTTCCTGTCAACTGGATTTTTGTCGTTCAGAACAACAAAGGTTTCTGACATGTCCCTTTTTCTCTCCCCTGCCCACCAAAAAGTTGGGGAGGGTGAAATTAGTTGTCTGCTAAGCAAAACTGTGCCACATAAGGACAAAGCTTGCATATGCCATAACTGCCATTCTTTTGGAGACTCCTTGGTAATTTTAACTCTCATAAAATAACACAATACTAAGCCTTCCAAGCTGGTTCTTGTTTCCAAGTGTTTCCCTGCAGTGCCTGATTCCTTCAAGTCTCTTTCTCCTCTACCGCTGAGGCAAAGACGTCAACGCTTTCTGTCCCATGGGGTGCTACAAACGTGCACCTACCACAGACTGCTCACAGCACTCTTATAGTGCCACACCAGGTATTTTCACCACACTGGAAAAGTCCAGGGATTTCTTGGACATCCTATAAATCACCAGCCTATTTGAAGCTGGTCCAAAGCCAGTCACTTATTGCCCGTAAGACAGGCACTGACACTGCTCTTGTCTGGAAATCACCCCAAAGGATTCCCTGCTACCTCTGCCTTTGTATTCAGTTGCCCCAAGGAGTCATCCTCATGCAATGGAAGCTCTTTCATCACTGCCTGGCTCAGCATCAATCCTGCTGTGCCATTTACTCCTTCTGGGACATCACCCAGACCCAACAGCTTCTCCCATTCCCACCTAACCCCGTTGTGCCAACGTAAATTGACACCATGGAAATGCAATGTCTTGGCAGAGTATCACATCAACCTGTAGTTCAAAGGACATTTCAAATCAGCCAAGTCAGCACTCTGGGCTTTTACACCTTTCCCTCTAAGCTCAGCTCTAAGTGACAGGTATAGACAATAACTTGGCAATCCTAGAAAGCTCAACTCACCTTCTGCTGGCGAGACTTCATGAGGATGATAAAGAACTTAAGATGTAGAAATGGGGAAAAGAAAGTGTTTGAAGGAAGTGGGGAGAAGCCTCAATGATAGCAGCCCAATAGCAAAGCATAACTTCAAAACACAATGAAAATTAAGAAGCTTTTGTGACTAACTCTGTATGGTGGCGCTAACTCCTTTTGCCAGCAGAGACAGAAACTAGAAAGCAGTACCATAGTCTTTGTTAAGCTCAAATACTTTTCTCTCTTTAATAGATGGCTCTGCAAAGTCTCTCCTCTGAATAAATCTCTTGGGGGAATAAAATGCGCGTGTGGCAACCTCTTTTCAAGAGAGTTTTGGGAAAGGGCACATTAGAGAGCTGGGCACGGCTTTCTGAAGTCCAAATGTTTGTGGAAGTTTTTCCTAAAAATATCACAAAGAAATTAAGTGGACGGTGAAAAAAAAAAAAAAGAAAAACATTATCAGGTTATGAAAATTCTTACTTTCTGTTGCTTTATAGTCTAGGAAGTCAAGAAACTGAATTAACCTATAGAGTGACATCAAATGTGGTGCTGCTGACCTCATTATGCTACAGTGCTCCTTCAGTCTATAGCTGGCACTGCTGGGAGAGGCAGTGCCTTTCCACTTGGAGGGAGAGAAGAGCAATTAGCAGCTGTGCTCTGTCTCACTGCCACCGCAGGAACAGAGACAAACCAAATTCAAAGGAAGCCAACAAAACCAGAGCAAAAGTCAAACTGACAGAAATTCAGAAAACCTTGGAGCTGGAGGCCCCCAAAACGACCTAATGCTCGAACTCTGATCTACTCGAGGGGGTCAGGCTTCACGGAGGAACACAGAAGACTTTTTCAAAGTAAATGCCAGCTCCCATTGCATTTTCCCTTCCAAGACATCCCCCTGAAAAATGACAGGTCTCCAAAGACAAGATGGAGAAATGCTACTTCATGTTACCTTTAGACCCCCAATTCAGGTTCAAAACTCTCAGAATAGTCAGACTCTGGGGTCTAAGTCCTGCTGGAATCTTGGGCTGTGCAAATGCACAGTGTGACATTTGTTTTGCTAAGCAATGTTTTGAACATGATGATGAAGCAAGATGTTTTCTCTTGCCACATTAACTAGAAACAGTACCCACATACTAAAAAACTACATTTGTAGCATAGAAAAAGAGCTTTAAAGGAACCAGGTATTTCCAATGGCTATTGGTTATCCATCCTATAAAATACCAGGAATTGGATTTTTCTAAGGGACTCTTCATAAAACTGGGGAATTTTGTCCCCTGATATTCCTAACTCTCTCCAGAAATAAACAGAATTTATTTATGATTGTCAGAATAGGTGACAGTCCTTGAAATCAGATTAAAGTAAGCAATTCCATAATAAGTGAACTTGTTATGATGGTAGCATTCAACAAAGCATATTTAAGTAATATCAAATTATTAACTCTGTAATTGTTTTATTAACTACTCTCTGTGTTCAGTATATCCAGAAACATTAAGCTCCATCATATTTTGGCAACAGCTACATTGGGGAAATACTTTGATTATCTATGAAGACATATCACTCTGAAAACTCAGGATCTGAGAAAAAAAAAAAACAGTGAAGCTGAAGAAAGAATCTCCTGGTGTTCTCTCCATTCTGGAAAGCTTATATTTAACATTATGTATGGTTTTCTCAGATGAGATCTAATCTAAAAATAGCATTTCACTGAGCAAAAATACCCTGCACATATAAGGCTTCATTTTTAAAAGATCACTGAGAGATCTCACGCTTAAAAATAAAATACACCCCTGCATTTTGCACAGACTGTGTCTGCTTCTCCCCTTAGACAGCTGGAACACAATGACATGGCCAGCCCTGTCAAACCCCAAGGAGAAGACAAAGGAGGAGGAATAACTTGAAGGCTGCAGTAGCAGCTGCCATGGCTTACTCAATATTCCTTGACCTCTAGCAGAGGGAGTCTGCTCCCACTCCCAACAAAGTTTACACTACACCAGTGATGCTTAATCAGTGGAGGCACTGAGGGTCTTAGTTACCAAAAACCTCTGCAAGTAATTTTATATGGCACCAGAACTGGAGTCTGGCAGAAACTGAAGTGCTTGGTTGTGCTCAGTGGATGGTGAAAGCTCTGATCTCACCTACACAGTGCGAGAGGAGCTTTGTCACCAGCTGCAGGTGGGAAGCACTTTCCACAGAGGATAAATCTGCAGCAACCCTTGTCATATTCCTCCCATAACCAGCAAGAGAATGTGAACAGCGGGAAAAAACCTTGCAATGCTCCAAAGTAATTATCATATTAACTCTGCTCCTTCCTGGGGGTGAATGTCTTTGTCAATATTGGTGTTTTTAATAAAGCTGTAAAACTTGTTGGATCTGTTGGAAGAGAAGAACTTGAGTCTAGCTTTACTCTCTCCTAACTGGGCAACTTGGAGTTTGCCAGGTCATGTCCCATATAACTCGGGAAGTTTTTCCTTAACAGCGAGTCTTTCAAAGGAAACCTTCCCCTAGACACTAAGACAAGGACATTTCTGTATATTTTCAATAAGCACAACATGAAAATCCCCAACTCTTGTCCTCCTCATCATTAAATTCCTTGGCACAGCCAACTGATCTGCTCTCACTCCTGTGCCCCAGCTTCCACTTGACACATGGCTGCTTTAGTCATCTGCAGGGAAGGTGATGGAGCCAAATATTTGAGATTATTTCATTCCTTACTCTCCCATTTATTCTTTTTTTTCCCCAAAAGAAATAGTGGTCACGATCCTGGAGCTTTACTTCCAAATGACATAGCCATTGTCCAGTTAGTGGTCACTCTGATCAAATCTGGCAAAGAGTTAGGGGAAAGCTGGACACCATAAAGCCTGAGCTGTCAAATTCCCCACCAAAGAAACTGCAGTGATTTCTCTAGAAAGCCAAGACACTTCTCAGAACTGATGCAGACACTTATTTGCATATATATTTTAAATCACGGTTAAGAGTCTTATTAAACTTGATGGTTCTAGTCACTTAAATAAACGTTGCAAATGAAGGTCCCTTAGCTATGAAGCCAATGTAATTGGATTTATATGACAGACCTACAAAAGAGCCAAGCCAAAACATTGTATCACATTACAGTAACATCAATGGTGAAACTTCAACAGCCTATTTTTACAGGAGTAATAACTTCCCTGAAAGGGAAGATGGAATGTGCTAAGTGCAACATTTAAGTACTTTTTATGTTATGTTGTAGGTATTATTGACCAGTGATAAAAACACATTTAGTTTTGTGAAACAAGGTGAAAAGCCCATGGCTACCCCTTGAGCCATCTGAGAGTAATGAGAACTGCATTGCCAGTGCAGGTGAGTGCCAAGATTTTAATCTGCTGGGACATGAGTTACCTGGGCAGCTACAACAACACCCACTCAAGTGCTAAGCTGCACCCTGACATCTCACAAAAATAACAAGGGAACCCTCAGATTGCCACACCTGAGCTCTCAGGGGATCAGGTGCTTCACGTGGGATGGCTAAAGAAAATCCACAGCCTGAGCACACCACATTCAGCAGGATAAAGAGATAAATGACATTTCTACAGTGGCCAGGTTTCTTGCAATTCACTCTTGCAAACTTGTGTCCCTCGACCCTCTTACCTGATTACAGGTGTTAATGTCTATTCCACTTTTCAGGTATTCCACTACTTTGTCCAAATTGCCAGCTCTGGCAGCCCGGAGAAAGCTTGCATTGCTGTCAGACTGTAAAAAGAGAAGAAAAAAAAATTCTCCAATTAGCCCCTAGTTACACCAGAGCAGAACTTAATCAGTGGTGAAAGGTTTCCTCATTTTATGCTGCAGGAGAAAAAAAACCTGTGAAACAACTGTGTTTGAAATATATCTGCATTAATTAGCATATTTAAATTAGGCAATAGTGGCACAAAAGAACCGCAGACCTGTCAGAGTGAGCAAAATAGAGCAATAATTGCTGACATTCAAAATTCAGCAAGAACTAAAAAAAAAACCAAACCCTGACATAAATCATAGTAACTGATATTGTCAACAAGCAAAAAATAAATTTATCAACTTGCTAACTATAGTTTCCTGGGGAATTATAGCTAAGTATATATTCTCTTTATATATAATTTTATGTATGATTTATATATGTTGTTTATAGATGTGTATAGATGTTATTTACAGATCTAGAGCTATTATTTTTAGATAGATATGCGCCCAGTGGGCAGCACTGCACATGTAGCTAACCTTAGAACAAAGCAGATAAAGTACTCAAGGCTGAGTATCTAAATCCAGGATCACGCTGTAAACATTCCCATCCCTAAACTGCCCGCGCTCACGTGTTAAAAAAGGGTTTAAAAATCCTATAAAAGTATGTTTTCATTTTTCTGCCAGGTTTGTGGCATGTACCGTTAAGCAATGGAGCTTGGAACGCCTCAGCCCTCTCGCCTTTGTCTGTGACACGAAACAACAGCAGCTGCTTGAAACCAGCCCAGATTTGGATGCTCCCACACATGGGCAAATTGGCTACTGAGGCACCTGAGAGCAGGACACAAAGCCAAGCCGTGCTACAGGGGCAATGAGTACCCTGAGTAAGCCCTCAGGAAGGCAGCCAGAGCCAGCAGCAATTGTCCTGGTTCAATAATCGGAGCGGGAGTGAGTGCAAGGAGCAGGTAGATGAGCACGAGAGCCTGTTTGTGGGGGTGGGAGCCCAGAGGCCGAGGATGGTCCATGCTCCGGTCTGGGTGGGACTCACCTTTCCTGCGTGTGCTCTCAACTAATCCCACCTCCCTGTCACAAACCTCGGGCAGAACCACGCTTCCACATCATGAGAACATCCTAAAAGCCTCCCACTTCCAGCCACTTATTTCAGTTGTCCAATCCGTTCCAATGCATTTATTTCGGTCACCCTGCTTATCACGCTGCGCTAACTCGCTTCACAATCCCCGATTCCAGCCTATTTTAATCTGCAACAGATGGATGTCATCAAAATGAGCCTCCTTACAACTGTGCTACATGCCAAGACAAAAATATTCTCTTTTAAATTCCTTTCAGAAAACTCCAGCACATTTTCCACATCTTTTACTGTTGGGAAAACAGACCATTTTCCTAAACATGCAGCAGGGGGAAAGGGAAGGTAACGCAGGAATTTTCAGTGACAGAACTTTTGGATAGCTGCAGGCCTCAGTCAGGGGAGCATTTGGATGAGATTTGATGCCAGTGCAGGTTTTGACAGGAACCTGAAAGTACCCTTTGAAGACTAAAGAATAACTGTTGACACTGCAGCCTTTCCTGAGATGATGATGCACTCATAAGGACACCAAATTCTGTTTAAATGTTTAAACACCCTTGAAAAAAATCAAGTGTCTTGGAAAAAACATTAACCAAAAGCAAATATCTGAGTGCATGAGGGGTAAACCTGGACACTCTGGTTGGGAAAAGCATCTTTGCCCTCAATAATACACACGTTTTACCTTCTTTCCCCCCATTTTTTTCATGCTTGACTACTACAACAATAATTTACCGTATCAAAACTACAACCATCAGCTTTATACTTTTAAAAGGTTAAGAAAGAATAATGCAACAATTTATTTATTTAACACCTGCAAATTTGGGTTCTTTGATTTTAATCAATCATTGCTTGTTTTTCTTTCACACAGACAAACATAAGAAGCTGAAAATGCTGACATCTCCATTATTGCTGGAAGCTCAGATTGTAGCTAAGCCCACACAACTACATGCCATTTGTTTCTGGCTAAGAAGATACAAGCAGTGCTTTCCAAGTAGATCCTCATTTCCTTGATTCATAATTTGATTACCTCATAATCGAATTACTGCAGTGTACGTCACTTCAAGTCACTTCAAAACACTTTCCATACAATGCAATGTTGATCATAATGCAGAATATTAACTTCTTGTCTACATAAAGAGTAATTCAGCAACCCATATGCTTCATATATAAATTCCCATACAAATACCAGAGACTGGTTCCACAAAACATTTAAAATATTCAGCACCATGTTACAAGGCTTAGAAAACTTAGAAGTTGGGAATACTCAGGTCTATTTTCTTTCACAGTTGGCCAAATCTAATTTTTCAGTAGGTTGTCACTAGTTTGTCCTTCGTCCCATTCTTTTAATGTTTTTTTAAAAGCATTTTTGTCAGCACCACTGTCTCAGACATTTATTCACTTTAGCACAACTCAAATTCAAATGCATTTTGACAAAATCCCCTCAGTAAACAACAGCAGCAGTTTCCTGTAGTCGTGCCATGTGAGAAGACAACAAATTTGGTTCTGCTGGCTTTTCCAGTGGATTCTGTCATCTCTTGAAATACTTTGTTACACAGGTCACCACAGTCTTCAGAGCTCCTCAGAGCCCCTCAAGGTACCTCAGAGCCCCTCTGAAACTCTCACAGCCCCTCACAGGCCCTCAGAAGCCTTCATGGCCCTTTAGAGCCCCTCAAAGGCCCTCAAAACCCCTCACAGTCTATCACAGCCCTTTAGAGCCCCTCAGAACCCCTCATGGCAGCTTTATAGCCCTTTTAGAGCCTCTCACAGCTCCTCATGGCCCTTTAGAGCCCCTCATGGCCCCTCACAGTCCCTCACAGGCTCTTATAGCCCCTCAGAGTCCCTCCCTCATGGTCTCTCATAGTCCCTTTGAGCCCCTCACAGTCAATCATGGCCCTTTAAAACCCCTCACAGCCCTTTAGAGCCCCCTCAGAACCCCTCATGGCACCTTCATTGCCCTTTTAGAGCCTCTCACAGCCCCTCACAGCCCTTTAGAGCCCCTCACAGTCAATCACGGCCCTTTAGAGCCCCTCAAAACCCCTCACAGGCTCTTATAGCCCCTCAGAGTCCCTCCCTCATGGTCCTTCATAAGCCTTTTGAACCCCTCAGAGCCCTTTAGAGCCCCTCACAGCCCCTAAAACCCCTCACAGCACCTCAGAGTCCCTCCCTCATGGTCTCTCATAGCCCTTTTGAGCCCCTCAGAGCCCTTTAGTGCCACTCAGTCAACCATGGCCCTTTAGAGCCCCTCACAGCCCCTCAGAGTCCCTCCCTCACTGTCCCTCACAGCCCTTTTGAGCCCCTCAAACCTCTCATGGCACCTCCATAGCACTTTTAGTGCCTCTCACAGCCCCTCACAGCTCTTTACAGACCCTCAAAGTCCCTCAAGAATCCCTCATGGCCCCTCACAGCTCCCTCAGTGAGAGAAACCACCATATTGGTCTTTATAGTTCGGTGACTGGTGAATAAAAAGTGTCAGCACACTGTCATTTGAAGGCGCTTCCTTGACAAGAAAGAAGACAAAAACACAGACCCAGGGTCCCGTGCGCCATATGGTATTTATCACATCTCCTCTTCCTAAGCACACACCCCTGAGGGGTTTTCTTAGGAGTTTCACACAAGTAAGCAGATCCTGCTTGAGAGCAAACACTCTACCAGTGAGGAAAGGAAAGGTTTAAAGGAGAAGAGCTCACCTTAAGCAGCACTATGTGAGCCCTGTAATTTGGGAAGCCCCAAAGCCGACATGTTAATGTGCAAAGTCTCAGCTGGCAGCTCTGCTCAGTCAGGCAGAATTAAGGCTCACGTTGTGTACATGCAGGCACTAAGGTCACACAATCAAATCAATATATGATAAACATAAGAATAAGGTACGAGGGATTAGAAAATATTGAGCTGGTATTTCATAGCATGGGATGAATTCACCATCTGTGGATATAAACAGCTTTTTCTAATGCACTGCTCTCAATACATATACTGTGACAAAGCACTGCAAGTCCTCGCTAACTACTTTTTTTTTTTTTTAAATTATGTTTGCAATGCAATTCTAGTACATTATGTAGATACAAAGGTAAATGTACATTAGATAACAGAAGACATTTTTCCCTGTGAGCGTGGTGAGGCCCTGAGGTTGCCCAGAGAAGCTGTGGCTGCCCCATCCCTGGAAATGAGCAAGGCCAGGTTGGACAGGGCTTGGAGCAACCTTGGGCTATTCCAGGTGCCCCTGCCTGTGGCAGGGGATGGAACTGGGTGACACTGAAGTTTCATTCCTAAACCTATGACTTCTGAGGAATATTTGGTGCTGTTGGATCTTGTAAAGATCTCCCATCTTTTAACTTTTCTTATGAACTTTTGATTGAGAATAAGTAATTCCAGCTATAAATAAGACTATTAGGAATAAATACAGTGTGAAAAAAATCAGTATAAGCTTAAGTACACTTACAGCATGAATACAAACATTACTTTGTAACAACCTAGCTGTCAAATACTGCATAAGGAAATACAAGAAACAATCAAGTTTATATATTCAATATATTCATATATGAATATATGACTGTGGATTCTCCCTCTTTCTTGCTAATTACATTGCTGCAATTTAACCTGAATTTGAAACATCTCAGTAAATAAATCATATGTGGAAATTAGTACTTTAATCAAATAGTCAGACCTTCCCTTCTGGTTCCTCTGTCCCCACTCCAGCTGCCCCTCCTGTTCCATGATGTACCACATCACTTACTGCACACAGCACACGCCTGTTTCTCGAGGACATTTTAGAGAGAAGTGCAAAAATAAATCCTGAAATCATATGCTGCACCAAACCCATAAAAACCTCTCCAATTATTCAAATTTGCTAGTGAAAACCAGCTTCATGCATAAGAAGGAAAGATTAGGGGAGTAGAATGCTTCAGTTTTCAAAGGATAGCTTTCATCATAACATTATCCAAAAAATCCAAATATTTGTTTT